ACTCAATGGGATACTTGCAATCGGCAGCATGAGTCACAGCGCAGTTACGTCAAAAACTGTGGATGCCTGGCCTGGAGCCGTGTTTCGACGTCTGCGCGCACAGCGGAACTATTTCCGCTGTTTTTCCAGTGAAATCATTAAAGCCAATGAGAATGAGGCGGCGCGCAGCCACCACCCTATTGCCTTCTACAAAGCAATGCAATTCGACGCCAAAATTAAGAAACATTAGCACAGCTCCAAGCGAAAGTGTCACGTTGACCCCGTTAGGTGCAACATGTTTGTTTTTTCGCCCAGTGTTGCCACCACACGATGCGTTTTCTGAAGTTGCGAGTACTACCGGTCTAATACACAAATTTCAAGGTAAAAAATAGACATCACCCTTCAGTTGTATTAATGGCGCGCTAACAAACAAATATTCGCCAGGGTTGCGCACTTGAAGTCTTCAATGATCTCTCTTGCACCGCGATCTATAGGTGTACGAGAAAGAGAGACATCTTTGAAGCCTTCACGATGGGCAACCTTGGTGAAGATATGCATTCTAGTTCACAATCGATACATCTCGCCAATGATGAAGTTCCTCTTTACGTATAAATTTAGATACAAGTCATGTACAGAACTGACAACGCGAGGGTGGGTAACGTGCTATGCCACTTCCTTTCTTTCTCTAATCCTGTCTATATCTATCATGTTTGAATAAAGAAACAGTTTGTGCTCGTGTTGTGTACTACGCGCTTGCTTGAGCGTCTTTCTTCGTGTTCATAGAGCACGTCAAAAGTGTAAACAAATAATTACACCATATCTCACAAAAGGCAACCACGAGTAGCATGTGAACAGATGAAGTTTCGTTAATCAAGGGCACCTTGCCCGATGTTAACAAATCCTTACAACTGGAGCACACCATCAATTGACGGCAGAGACACGTCGAGCGTTCATACCATTCCCATCAAAACAAAACAAATTGTGCCAAAATAGAATGCAGGTACACCGTCACTGCTTGATACGCAATCGATTTCCCCGATGTGAGGCTTCTGCTGGAATTTTCGTAACTGAATGATTGTTAGATTTGTTGATTTACTTCATACGTAGAGCTCTCCTTTGGTTGAACATGCCTCTTTGAGCTGCGAAGCGGTATGGTTGCTAAGACACTCAGCTCATGACACGCGTGTCGCGGGATCGAATCCCGGCTGCGGCGGCGAGATTTTATATGGAGGTGAAAATGCTGTAGGCCCGTGTGCTCAGATTTGGGTGCACGTTAAAAAAACCTCAGGAGGTCGAAATTTCTGGAGCTCTCCACTACGACGTCTCTCACAATCATATTGTGGTTATCGGATGTTAAACTCCCCGTATTAATATTATTATGTGCGAAGCAGCTTATGGTGTGGTATGCAAGCGACGTGACCACTCTTACTTCGCATGCACATGCCAAAGGTACGCGGCGATGTTGTGCGGAAAGTTCATTTTTTTTAGATCGGGTTGACTTGTATTCTTGAACTTTAATATGGCTATTTTTAGACCTATGAACTGCTTTAATTGCTCATCCACTTTCTTTAAACATGTGCGCAATGCTTTGATCTGGGTGGCTAACATATCACTGTGGCATTTACATTTTCCCGCCGCTTCTTTTCTGCATTACTCACTCAGTTATCTATGTCTCTAGCGTATTTTTATTTTTCGAAATAACTTCTCTGCTCATTACCGACAACTGACAAAACTGCTCACCGCTTACAGATTACAGCGGTGAGTCTACATCCGTGACTGTGCCGTCTTCAAGTCTGTGCCGCTCTCAGCTGACGATGTCTCGTCAAGCTGCAGTCGGTTCGCACTGGGGCCTCGTCTTCGTCCGTCTTCTGTGGCCGCACTCAAAGAAAAGATCGAGAAGAAAGGGCGTCTTTTTGTCCCGAAACAACATCAATAAGCTATTTTACATTTCTTTCCTTACATTATCACCGCGCGCCCGGTACTTTGCGGTCGCGAATGACATGTGCGTTACCAGCATGACGTAGTGTTGTTGATAGGAAAGTAGCCAGCGCCGAGTTTTCAAAAAAAAAAAGATATCGCAAGAAAGTCAGATCACAATTATTGTTTTGGGACAAAAGACACCTTCCTTACTCGATTTTTTCTTAGAGTGCAGTCCTTGGTTTTATCATTCCGTCGTCAGCCGGAAGAGAAGTAGCATACCTGCAGCATGTCACAGGTATGATATGAGACAACCATAAGAATAACTGCATTCGATGCGAACGAAAAGGAAGATTCTCATTTTTCGTTGTTTTCTTAATACACACGTTTTTGCGTGTTCAGTGCTAGTCCAGCGTCCGGTGTATTTAAATATATATTTTTTCTTGATACATTCATGTTCTTTGATAATATGAGCGTTATGCTTGAACAGCCCCCGAAAAACCCCTAAAAATACGATAAACAAGTGCTTTAACCTTTCCCACCTCCCAGGAGATCGAAATATTTGGAGACCTCCCTTAAGGCGTCTCTCATAATCATATGGTGGTTTTGGGAAGTTAAACCCCACAAATCAATCAGTCATCATCAACATTTTCCACCGTCTCCTGTTTTTAGCGGAGCAAATCATGACGTCAGCTCTTTGTACACGTGATGTCAGGTAGAAACAAGGTCTTGACTGGTCAATGTACGAGAAATATCTGCTGCGAAGTCTCGCCTATACCCGTAATTGCCGTGCAGTCACACACCCGTTCTGCCTTGTATCGCAGGACTGTCATGACCGATAAACTGATTTAGTTTTCTGTATTTCCCACTTAGAAAGCTGAGATAGCAAAGTGCAGTCGAAAAACCCAAAATAATTACTGCCTCAATGCTCAGTCCCGGCATTCGACTTCCTTTCTTAGCCCCGCCACGGTGGTCTAGTGGCTAAAGTACTCGGCTGCTGACCCGCAGGTCGCGGGATCGAATACCGGCTGCGGCGGCTGCATTTGCGATGAAGGCGGAAATGTTGTAGGCTCGTGTGCTCAGATTTGGGTGCACGTTGAAGAACCCCCGGTGGTCGAAATTTCCGGAGCCCTCCACTACGGCGTCTCTCATATTCATGTGGTGGTTTTGGGACTTTAAACCCCACATATCAATCAATAAATCAACTTCATTTTTTTAGAAATCAAGTGGCGAGGAGGGGATAGCGCTGGTGAAAAGAGTAGCGAAAACGAGAAAGAACCTACTCCGTCACCTTGCTGCACACTGCCTCGCCTCTGTACTCGATGTGATTTAAGCGCCCTATAACTTGCAAATTTCCGTGCAGTGAAACATGAATCCCGATATTCTGCTGCGTATAATGAATCTATTAGTGAAGCATCAGTATTCTCGAGATGAAGCGAATACTCTGAGAAATTGTATTCTCGAAGCGGTATTCTTTCATACGTATTCCGAAATACTTTTTCCTTTTGCAAAAGTACTTTGCAAGTATTTCGTTACGTATCTTAGTATCTGTATTTTGGTATTTATTATAGTATCTGTTGTTTACGCTTCCAATGCTTATAGTACTTATGCATATGTGTTCCGGAATACTTTTGTCAGTATCGCTGCCCAGCACTGTATGGCTGAGGTTCCATGTTTTTTTTTTGTGTGTGGTAACAAAAATGTATATGACCCAAAAATTGACAATCTAAACCATTCACCACAGGTCCACTTAAAATGAAGGAATAATAAAGAAAAATATTTACTGTTGGTGTTTGTCGTCCAAAAACCGCGATATGATTATGAAAGACGTCGTAGAGGTGGGCTCCGAAAATTTCGACCATCTGGTGTTCTTTAAACGTGCACATATGTTAGCATTCTTGCTACCACTGAAAGTACGACAGCCGCAGCAGGCATCTGATACCGCGAATATTGGGGCAGTTTATAGTACAGCACCATAAACATGAATTCAGCACAGCAGATAGAATGATAAGTTGTAAATCCGCGGGAGACAAGCGCCAATTAACATCGTACAAGAAACGCCAAGGGCATTTGGTAAGATATACAAGACAACGCACGTTGCAACAACAACAAAAAAAGCGTCCTGCCCAAATGATTAAGTATAAAGCAGCATCTTCCAAATTGAAAGGGAGTTTTTCTGGGCTGAGAGAGAGAAATAAACGTTTATTTCGAAACAGTGCTCTGTTTCAAAAAAATTGCCCGCAGCTTCCCTCGGGGGAACACTAAGGAGGATGCGGAGCATATAATTGGTTAAAGGGGTGTTAAAGTGCGACTTACTTGGGTCGATGGCTAAATTGGTTAACGTGGTTGTGAAATGGGGTGTTAAATTGCGACTTACTTGGGTCGCTGGCTAAATTGGTTAACGTGGTTGTAGGAGGGGTGTTAAATGAGTGAACACGTACGACACGTATGCGAAAGGGCGGTGTTTATTTATTGCGACGAACTTTGAGCGGTTCCGCCAACACTTTGGCCGGCGCTGGTCGAAGGGACGTCGATCATTGCGACCTCGGACGTCGACGCGCCGTACAAACCAACCGACGAGCGGCAACTGAGCGAGCGAGCACCGACCTTGAGTATATATACAGCGCGACGGCGCATGCACTGTCAGCTGTCGAATGTTCGAGAAGGGGGAGAAGCGCAACGGCGCATGCGCGCGCGTCAGCTGCCGATGTTCTCGAAGCGCGACGGCGCATGCGCGCGCGTCAGCTGCCGATGTTCTCGAAGCGTGACAGCGCATGCGCGCTACATTATACAGCTAGCGAATGTTCGTGAAGAGGAGAAGCGCACGCGGTGTGTAGAGGAGGAAGGGTGCACAGATGGTGGAGGAGTGAAGCGCGCGCGGTGTGTAGAGGAGGAAGGGATGCACAGATGGTGGAAGAAGGAGGAGGAAGCTTGCGGACGGCGCCGCACTACAAGCCTCGAGTATTAGATGCTCCGCATCTAATAAGGTGGAAAGATTCCCTAGTCTACGAACCCTCTGGCTTCGACTGGCCTCTTGGCCCTGGCGAGGAGTTGTCGCTGGTAATCCAGGTCCTCGAGAACGAGCTTGGCCTCCCACGTTTCGGTCAGGAAGTCGGCAAAACGGATCCGTAACCTTGGGAAAAGGATTGGCTCTGAGGGCTGAGCCGGTCGGGCTGGGGTCCAGAAGCAGGAACTGCACTGCACCGGGACTGGGCGAGGCTCGCCGCCGTAAAAAGCGGTGCGGCCGAGCACGGACCAGCGTCGGGACCTTCCTGTGGAAAGCCACAGCTGTGCATTTTCCGTGGGCTTCGCGCCTGAGGTTCTTGCTTCGGCCGGCAGAAAACAGGCAACTCAGAACTGGCACGGACCGGGGGAATCCGACTGTCTAGGTGGTCGTCGTTCATTCTTGGTACTTGGTCCCACTCCGGTTGCATGTCGTTGTTTGCATGGCACTGGCATTCCAGGAGCAAGTGTGCCAGGGAGTCCGGTACGCTGCACAGCGGGCACATGTAGCCATGTTTTGTTGGGTAGAGGTGGTGCATTAATATTCCGTGTATGTACGGCGCAGGATTGGTTGTCCGTCGATATTCTGTTTCACATCTGTGACGTGTGCTAAGCGGCTTGGCTGCTCACGTGCCCTGACAGTATGTTATGCTTCACCTTTATTTCACTCTTTCTATTAACAATAAACGACATGCATGCTCGTCGTCTTGTTAACTTCTACTAAAATTATTTCGTCATCTTCGCAAATACATGTTTAATGTCGCTTTCACCAATGCGTTCAACCTTCACTCAATGCTCTGATGTGGTGTCACCATCTGTCTGAATAGCGGCTCAATGACGTATCTATAGGCCCTGTTTTCATGTTGCGAATTTCTTTTTAAATACAACGAGCTACCTTGTTGTTTGTCTAAAAAAAAAGCCGACCAATAATTACCGGATGAAGCGAGATTGTCACCATATGTAGTGCTTCAAAGCAGAAATGTGAGTCGTCTTTAAATACAAGTGCACAGCAGCCTATTGTGCAGTGCACTCGAAGTTGTCTATAACGTTTTAGATACTATGATCGCTGACAGCCCCGCCGTAGTACTTTTCTTCCTGTATATGATAAACTGCAACTCAGGCAAGTTAATCGTTCCGGTAAATTTATTTACTGGTTACGTATACGGGCATGTATATGTCTGACCTTAGAGAAATCACTCGCTCCAGTTTCCACTTTGCAACCTGCAATAACGTAAACATGGCACTTATTCCTTTCGTGAGTTGTGTAAAATTGCGGCCACCTTCAACTTTGAAAATGGCTTGAACTTTGAATGGCGTGCGGCCATTCGTCACACTTCCCCATTCTGACGAGGTCGTTCACGAGTCCATTACAATTTAAAAGACACTCGTTTTATGGCGTAGATTGGTTTTGTGTCTCGGTGGTTAAGATACCGTACTAGCTTTGAAAGGCAAGCACCCGGTTTTACATCAGCAGCCCTCCCCCCTCCCTCTGATGGGGTGAGGGATATTGCGTGCAGCTCTCCTGCAAAGACTTGCCCCTGTTTCCTTTCCTATCGCTTTTACCATTCGAGCACCAGAACAGACCGAAAAGGCAAATTATCGAAGAGGGTGAGCTGGGCCGTAGCACTCCTGACACGGCTAGCATTGTATTGCTTGCTAACGTAAAATACCGTGATACACTTAAAAGACTGTCTTAGACTTTGTTTTTAGTGACTGAGTTCATCAGCTGCTGATGCTACATTTTCGTTCTTTCTATCTGTTTCGTAAGAAAAACTCTGATGCAACCATACCTGCTCTCAGTTAAGATTTTATTATAAGTGTACAACAAGTTGCTTTCTTCTATAAATAACTCCAATCAATTTAAAAGTGTGCCCATCGGGACAATTTTCGACCATGCGATAAGCTAGAGTCTATTTTAAACTGATAGCCATCGCTGAGGTGCCTAAGGAGTATAGGCAACTGCTCGTGATCTCCTTACAGCTGGTCTTGTGTACCCAAGGCTTCTCGAAAGCAGAGATGGAAGTGAAGACCTTGTGTTGAACATCCGCGAAAATGTTACGCTTTACCTTGAGAAAAGTACGGTATTGGCAGAAAACATTCATTTGGATTCTTCAACTACTGCTGGAACGCACCGAACTATTGTAAGTCACATGCATAAATATTACTACATAACCTATACTGCAAACCTTGTGGTACTGCATAGTATGTTCACGTACGCAGGCTTGCAATGGTAAACATATATCTCCGAAAGAGTTTGCTAAAGTGAATGTCTGTTTATACAAAAGAATTTGTGGATAAAAAGAAACCTCAGCCTCTTTATATGAATCGACAAGTTCCCATCCGTCATAAAGCATTGCGGGGATGTGAAAAAAAGCAATTCAATGTTGTGAAACTGCCATACGAACAAAATTTAACCTATACGACAAAAGCTTCAGAAGTCGAACGTATTCTCGCTCTGAAAACAGGCCGCAGAGTTCAAGAACCCACGCGAGTTGCCGCAGAATGAGAATAAAATATAACAGGTTTCAATATGTAGTAATGCGTTTTACCAGCGCCTTTTTAGAGAAGGAAGTTTTTAGATAGACGAGGTGCTTTAAATTCATTAAAGTTAGGCCAGAACATGTCATCAGTACCTGCTGGAAATGGAAAGATGATGACTAATAGTGGCAAATTCAGCCATAGTTGTCGCGATGCGAGTAGAGCCTGTTTGTTTAGGTAGCGCTCAGAAGTCACAAAAAAGTTTTCGCATATTCACGAAGTGATTGATGATGAAGCTTGCTCCAGAGGTTAAATCTGGTAAACCATGAATCCTCTGTTCATATCTGAATCATATTCATGTAAAGACATGACACGAAAGTTTTGTGATCTGATTGTATACAGGATGCCTCAAGAAATGTGACCAATATTTAAAAAAAAACCACAGAAAGGCGGTATCTGCGTGCTACTTGCGGCGTTGCTTTTCCTGTGGCAGAAGAAATCTTGAGATGCGTACAAACATCGATAACGGCAGTAAATATATAAAATAACACGATTAACTTTTTTACCAATGGGAATGACTCGTCCAGTAAAATGGGCGAATTCAAGTCTTTCCTACGAATAGTCCATGGCCGCTTTGAAATTTTGGAAAAGTGGCCACAGCATTCTATTATATTTTGGCATGGTTTTCCCCACGTCATAATTAGTAATTGTGGCCTCAGTGCACCACCGATGTTGTCGAAGAAGTTCTGCGTTTCTGCGCCTAAAGTTTTCCAAATTCAACGACCTATCACCTTCAGACCAATGGCTTCACAGAACGCACGAATAAAACTCTCGTGAACATGCTGTCCATGCGTGTCAGCTCGGATGACAGGAACTGGAGTGAAGCGCTGCCGTTAGCCACGTACGCCTAAAGTAGCGCGCAGCATGAGACCACTTGTTATAGCCCCTTTGTCCTTCTTTACGCCCGTCCACCGGTACACATTTTAGACACTATTTTCGCTTTCGGTAACAACGACAACGCTTGCATAGCGAAAATACTCTGCCGGGCGGAGGACATTCGCCGTTTCCCTCGATTGCGTACTCTGGCTTGACAAGAGCGCTATAAATCCCAATATGATAGTCGACACCATAATGCCACCTACAGTCCCTGGTGACCTTGTCTGGCTATGTATTCTAGAACGGAAACGTGTAGCTGTGTCAAAAACTGCTCGCTAACTATGTTGGACCACTTGTGGTGATAGATCGTCTCAGTGAAGTGAATTATAGGATCGCACGCCTCACTACCAGGGGAAGATGGTCATCGAGGACCAAAATTGTGCATATAGCTCGTTTGAAGCCCCTCAAGCAGCTGCCCTCCCACTGATTTCTCGCCCGGTGGCCTTCGTGTGCAAGAGGGACAGTGTTACAGAACTGTTACAGCGGGTCTATTTCACGGTGAACGATTAGCAGCAACCACAACAGCAGAGCAGCAGGAAAAGAAGAACGACGTGCAGTACTGGCTGACACTTGCCTTTCAGCTCTTACTAACAAACCTCTCCTATGAACCCCGCCACAATACAGTTTCCAAAATTGTTTGCTCTCCTCACTGGATTTTATAATCTAGTTGTTACATATGCTCACTATCGGATCGTGGGTGAACATAGGTGCAGATGAGAAAGTTTTCGTTTACTTGTTTCTTGTCATTCTACCCACACTTCAAGTTGGTGGACTGTCTGGCACACGTCCTCCTGCAGCGCAAAGTGAGCATCCTAAGACTACACGCAGCCAGCAAGAGAGGAAATCTAAAACCTCCTCAGTAGAGCGTGGGAAACTGCGATCTCCTAGCAGTATGCCTGGTCGACCAGTGTCAACTGATCGCTTGAGTCCGGTGGTTGGACCAGGCCAGAGGATTCTTGAAATAAGGGTTCCTCCAACCTTTCCTCACAAGCCTTTATATGATGAAAGTTTTCTCTCTCTCCTCAACCTTACCTTCCTTTTTTTCCAACGCGTACCTAGGCGATGAATTTGACGAAGCCAGGCGCAGGTGCCAAGTGGTTGCTAACAAATCATGCAGATGTCCTACCTATGCGCAGACTCTGCGTGCGATCCAGTTCCGAACATCGAGCTGTTATTACACGTACCTCTACGCAGCTGAATAAATAATTAACTGAGCGTGGCACGTTCACGTCGATCTCACACGATAACTAGCACGCCGAAGGTGTATCTAAAATGACAAAGACGTCACGTTTTCCTTGTTTTGGCCAAAAAAAAAAGCTGCAAATAAAGTTGAGGCAAATAGCTGCCACCACGTTAATTGTTGCTCTGTTAATCCTTGCTATTTTGTTTTAATTATGTGAGCCCGCGAATCAGTGAGACATATACCGCGGTTATGACGCACGCGATGACATTTCGCAGGGGCTGATGCTGTAACCCCGAGCGAGGCAGCTAAATTCTACCGACGTAGAAATCTACGAGTTTCCCTCCATCTTGCGCCTCGCCCAACAAGCTACACGTTACGATCCCCCTTAAGGAGACACTGTAATTTGCAACCTAATAAAATCAGCGATACACCTGGACATGCGATTCAGTCATTGTTCTTTTCCCGTTATTTTGTGTAATTTGTTACCTCTTTTTTTCTTCAGCTCAATGGACAAGAGATCGAGGCCAACTTGTATCATGACGAAAGCCACCAGTCATCTCTCATCCTCACGAGAAGCCCTAATGGCGTAGATGTGGTAGGTAGCCGTAAGACATATGGAACTTGTATATCTATTCTACTGTGAGACTGTTGCAGCTACTATAGTCGAGTGGTGTGCATGGATGAAGCACCTTGACGAGTGAATGAGGGTACAAGTGTGCGTGCGTGCGTTGCTTTGTTGTTCTCCAATATATGAAAGTAACTATAAAATTCGACAGATCCCGCATACCT